ATTGGTTATGTAAAACATCCCTCATTTGACTATTCTTCTGTTTCGGAAGAATATATTTTCAAAGAAGATGACCGCCTTGATCTTCTAACACAAATTGGAACTCATCCCTATGATCAGCTCATCACCAATGTCTCATCGCTATTGAAAATCTAGCGGATCATTTCATACATGTATCGTTTTTCTACTCATTCAAGACCTCAAAGTATCACTAGCAAAGAACTTCATCATGCTATTATATCCCTAATAAAACACGTTCAATCTACCATCTTTCCTGAAAAGTTATCTTTTATACGAAGTGAACAACTCACTTCTAAACATATTCGGCGATTGAACCCTTTCATTGATAAGCGTGATGGATCATTGAGCTCATTCTAATATTTCATATAACAAACGTCATCCTATATTTCGATTCCCAGTAAACATCTATTTTCTCAACTCCTAATTGAAATGACTCCCGAGATGTATATTCACCCTGGTTTCCAGTCCCTTCATTTTTTGTTGCTGCAAAAATTTTGGATTCTGTCAGCCAGAAGAACTATTCGTAGCGTCTCGTCAAAATGCCATATCTGTTGGAAGCAAAATTCCACAAACTTACAACCTCCTGTGGGTGCTTTGCCCCCTCTCGGAGTTTCAAGCCTTCTCCTGCGTTGGTGTAGACTTCGGCGGTCCCTATACTATCACTCTAGGAAAAATTCGAGGCGCTGAAATTCCCGAATCATATATTTGTTTGTTTGTTTGCGACCAAAGCTCTTCATATTGAGTTGGCCACTGATTTATCAACTGAAACCTTTCTTGCAGCTTTAAGACGATTTAAATCCCGAAGGAAACGCGTGAGATACATCTTTACTGATAATGCCACAAATTTTGAAGGTGCGTTCAAACAACTTCAGGTCATTATGAAAAATGCTGTTGGACAGGGATTGCGAACGCAATCAAGTCCCCTTTTGAATAGTCTTCCAGATGATGACCCAACTGAATAAACAAGTGAATAAACTTTCCCGTCCGCAATTAATTCAACGACTGCATCAAGACTTTTGAAATTTATATTCTCCATGAACACATAATCACAATAAGGCGCAAAAAATTGTACTTATTTTCATCTACCCAGAGAGCGCATTCTACAATCTTAATCAAAATTATCAAGATATTCTAAATCCTCGCTCCTAAATTTCATAATCAAATGATTGTATGAGTACGAAATTTTGGGTCGAAAATTCAGTTAATATTAAAACTGAAGAATTAAATAATAATATTTCTTTTCCAAATATTCCTCAGACCAGAACAATTCGAAACAAACAAACTTACCTCAGTGCAGAGTTCATCATGATTATGATGAATATCATTCCATAAGTGTAGAACTTGATTTATTCAGTAAATAAACATCTGAAACTTCTACGTCAATGGAAAGAAGAGGGTTCGAATATGAAATTCAGATTGCGTAAATGTTTTACTACAAACAAATACTCCTTATGGAATTCGATTCCTCTCATGGTTTCGAAAAAATTTTAATTTTAGTAATTCAACAGATATTTCAAAATGTTCATCATTTTCACATATTATATGAAGATTAATACTACGAAAAAAATGGATACAGACAAACTCACCTCAGTACAAAGTTGGTCAGTGTGGGCGATAGACAGCTTGCTTACTCAGTAAAAAAATTTTTAATGAAATATTTGTTAATCATTTTGGTGTTGACTGATGCTTTGAATTACTAAAATTCAAATTTGTTGAAACCATGAGAGTAATTGCAATTTATTATGAGTTCCTCATTTGTAGTAAACAATTTACGCAATCCCTATTTCATATTCAAACTCCTTTGTCACCATTGGCGTGAAAGTTTCAGTTCTTCATTTACTGAAAAAATCGAATTCTACGAGCACCGAATGATATTAATCATAATCATGATTTGGGTTGTATTGTCCAATGAAGCTATGCCAACGTGACAAATTTGAGTAATATGTCATGAGCTGTTTGAAAGTTATGTAGCAAAAACGATTTAAGAACTGTAACTTCAGAGCCGTGTAGCGCCCAAACTAAGCAACTTTGTACTGAAGTAAGTTTTTTCGTATCAGATTGTTTTGGTCCGAGAAATATGTGGTAAGCTTTTGTAAAGACCTTTTAGGGACACCCTGTATATCTATATTCTTCAGAAGAGTGACAAGTATCAATGTGATATTTACTTTGGCAATTATGCATCTATGCAGCAAGTGTATTTTAACTTGTACCTGATATAAAATAAATAAATCTTCAATCTCAAATTTTGAATACCTATACAATGAATCATGGCGCCCATGGAATGTCGAATTTCAAACGAACAGACTATTTTCATCAATATCACGAATCTATTTTGAGTGATTATCTCTAGGAATTGGGAAGAAATATTTCCCACTTCCACCATGATATTCCATCGAAAACGAAGGACTAAATATGTAAATGGGTACTTTCTATTATTGTCATGCGCCTTGAGGATTATGATGTTCCAGAAAAAATGAAACCCCTTCTATCAATAGATTTTCAATCAGTACACACTCATTTTTTTTTCAGGATTGTGATGAAGATGGAGAAATAGATTGCGACGACTTCACTATAATACACCTAAATGGTGGTTATCATTGTAAGGGACTACGAATGCCTGAGCCGTATGGAAAACTTTACAGAAAATGCAAGAAGAGAGTTGGACTATTCGAGCTTTGAATTTATTATTTTATTTCATACTGTATTGTAGAACATACTTTCACATACTCGATTTTATTCCGGTGAATAACTCATTATAGTATTTGTAGTAATATGACCCTGTATCTTCAATAGATGATGGAAAGTCAGTCTGAAGCAGTCGTACAGGAGACACGTCAGTCGACTAGCCGATACAATTTCAAGCAGAATACGATTCAGACAAGCCTTGTTACATACATAAATATATGAAATTCGAGTACATTTATACTTCCCCATTCGTTGCGATAGTGTTCACCTACTACCAATGTGTAATGAGAAACATTACGACACTGATTTCAGTTTCGTATACTTTACCGCACTAGTGCTGTCAAGTGTTACTTTGCTGCACTGGTGCGATATTTTGAAGGAATAATTTCGATCTCTAGTATTTTTACTCAAAGAAAGAAGAAATATGAACTAATTGATCATAAATATACCAGGTACTGAAGTTTGAGTTGCTTCATTTGCCGCAATTTCTATATTTATCTGAATCTATCATTTCGTTACATGAATTCTTGTCGATAATATTCGTTTCGAATAGAAATAAACCGTCAAAGTTGACAGTTCGAAGAATGAGTGACAAGCGAGCAATATAGATTCATGCACGATAGGTATATATACGCCCAAGCCATGCAACGCTTGCTAGTTGAATATTCCTAATGAATCAATATTTCAAGGAATATTAACTATCTTCAAATAATAATTAGTACATCAAATAGTTAGCGTTCTCGGTAGTACTTAAAATATAGTAATATATTCGTATCGTGAATTCATATTACGATAATCGATGGGTTATCAAACTAGGCCTTCGGCCTCGTTTGACAACTGTACCATCTCATATCGTAATATGAATCTCATATTATCGTAAAATATCTTATTGTTCTGGTTGAAACGCTTTTCATTTGCACCACATTTGGACCCATTTCATGACAGTGTAAACGTCATAGACCATGAACTTTACAAAAAATTTGCAGAGTTTTGAACTAGAATTGGAGATGCATTGGCTGATGATTGCTATCTATCAAAAGTAGGATCACATATCCACAAAATTGTAGCTGATCATTTTAAGCCAGGAAGATTAACAACAAAGGCTCATTATGAACTCATAGAAGTAAAACATCGTTATCGTGGCAAGAATGTGTGAATTTTTGTGCAAAGAATAAACTTTGCTGGTTGTTTTCGGAAAAAAATGAGACTATTACACAGCCGGAGATTGTATTTTCGGGGATGTCTCCGACGAAAGAATGAGTGACCAACTAATATTTGGTATTAAAAATTGTGAGAGGCAAGAGAAAATCATTGATAAATATTCTACATCTGATACGACTTTTGAAGAAGTTGCAGCAACAGTCATGATTCTAGATCAAGCTCCAATGCAAAAATTCCAAAACCTACCTCTTGTTCTTATCCTCCCTAGGTACGCATTATGTTCTCCGAACATTATACGAATCCCCTTTCGCTGCTCCAAGCGATAACAAAACCAATTAACCGTTATCCAGTCGAACAATCAATCAACAGAAAACAACGTGAACCCCGTTATTATACCGAACAAAGAATGCCAAGCTTACAAAAATAACGACAAATCTGTTTCTTCTATAGCAGACATCGCCAAAAAGATTGGTCAGCTTTTGGAAAGACATGGAGTAGGTACGGTGAAGAAAAATCATTTCTCTCGTGTGTGCATTATCTCTGAGAATACCATAATGAAACAGACATGTAAGTCCAGATCAATAAATATTCAGGAAGATGTATTCTAGCAAAGCCGTGATATCTGTTCATCTATATGATAATGCGATTAAAATGCTTAATGATCCTGGTTCTGTTCATGTAGTAGTTGAAATAATGATTTGGGAAGGAATTGGGAAGCCGTCGTTGACGAAAACACCTGCTCTGATCACGTATAGTAGATATTAAGCATTAAATACACCTGCTGAAGCTACGGTGCAATTGAAAGCTTCCAGAACAAACTTGATTTAACCAGTGTATGTCACTGAAGATGGCGACATACCGCTCTTTGGTTTAGATAATTGGTGTTCAACTTTCAAACTACCTCTACCTCCTGTCAAAGTTTCACACTTGGAAGATGACCAGAATATGGACCCTAAGAAGAGTTCTATCAATCCAAAGAATAATGAAGGGAAAAAGTTCATACAGCAAGAATGCATTCATGGAATAGGTACTGCGGGAGTTCTATGATCTTCTTGAAGAACAATTAGGCATCATTAAGGAACATCAAGCAATAATTCATATCAATGAAGATGTTATTTTGAAGAGATTTTGCCAAAGAAGTGTACCTTTCTCATTACAGGACAATGTTTTTGCAGAACTATCGATACATTGGTACGATACGAAAAGGTTAAAGAAACCGTGGACACAACTAATACATCTTCCGTGGTCCTCACCCATTGTCGTTGCTAGCTTAGGATTTGTATCGATTCCAAGGTCACGATAAATAAACATGTTCAAATTGATGATAAACCATTACCTCGCTTCGAGAATATCACAGCGAAACTGTGTGGGGTAGGTACTCCTCAAAAATTGCCCTTAGAGATAGATGCCTATCTTCAACTAGAAGTTCATCCTGATTATAAAAAATAATTAGTTATCACAACTCACAGAGATTATATCACCTACAAATATTTTTCGTTTGGTATCAGTTTCGCTCTAGCTTTATTCCTATGCACTATGGATCACATCATTCCACGTTCAGAAGTCGTCGTTTGATACCTCAACGATATTTTGATTAGAGTCCCAAATTTGATATACATTTACAACAACTGAATGCAATTTCACGTCGTCTTTACAGACGTCTGGAATGAATGCTCAGAAATCTGAATGTGATTGGCTCAAAATTAGTGTTACCTTCTTATTTGGCCATCAAATTGATGGAGCAGCAGATGCAAATGCCAAGTAATACCACTCAACTTCGTTCTTTCCTGGAAACCATCACCTACTATGGTAGGTTCATGAAAAACCTACACTTGAGGTGCGTACCATTACATATAGACATTTAAAGAAGAATGCAAATTGGGATTGGTCGAAGGAAGATGGCGAAATACTCGCCGCTTTCTTGCCATGGCAAATTTCATTTAGAGGTTTCTCAAGAATACTGTATGTACCTCAATGAGTACTTGAAGAACATCACTAAGAATGATAAGCGACCAATTGGATGGACATAAACAATTGAAGAAGCATACGAGAAGTGCAAGAGTAGTCTAGCTGATGCAAATTTGTTACTACACCATGTAGAAGACTCATCTTTGGATCTAACAGTAAATGCTTCGGATGTAGCTATCGAGTCAGTTCTAGAACAATTTTGTGATGATCTATGGAAACCAATCAGATTTCTCTCTAGTAAATTGAGTTATTCATGAAGATATTACAGTACCTATGACAAAGAATTATTTTTGATTCATGATCGAAGGACGAAAATTAACAATACCAACAGATCACACATCTTAAATGTTTGCATTCCACCCAAAACTTCATAAAGCATCTCCGCGACAAGCTATACAGCTGGATTTGATTAGTCCATTCACTACTGAAATCATATATATTCCTGATGGTGAGTCCAATATGGTTGCCGATGCTCCATCCCGTTTGACTGAAATTTCAATGCCTTCTGTAATAGTGTCAAAGTATCTGCCTAAAGGGCAGATGGTGATTGAGTTACCTACAAGGCACGTTCCCAGGTAACGGATAGGGTCAGTACCTAGGCCTAACAGTCTCGGTCAGCGGAGGCTACAAGTAGAGTGAGGACGCCCAAGAGCCTCAAAAATCTTTGGCGAAAGGTATGGCCGCGGACCAGCTCGTGGTACAATCCGCAAACCGCTTGTGGTGCAACGAACCACCGGATACCTTGTGTTCGTTGGTATGTGCCAAAAGGGGCACAACACCTTTTCTAATCTCAATGTATTGTCAGCGCCGAAAGGATGGATGGTCGAGGGGCCCCTGGTCAGCAAGCTAGGGACCGAGGAAGACTACACACCAGCGGCTCAGTTGAACCACCGGGCTGAGGAACCCCAAACTGATAACTTTGGCGCCAGAAAGTCAACCCAAGGTTCTCTTCCATCTGTTCCTGGGACCCAGCAAATCAGTAAACGATCCAGAGGATCGAATTATATTCCTTCGGACTCTGGCGAAACCTTGAAGAGATCCAAGAGGACAGTAACCCAGCTTGGGTCCAAGGTTGTCCCAGGCATAAGCTATGCCAAGTCTACCTCAGGGCCTAGCGAATTTCAGCTAGCCCTAATAAGAGCTGACAGACGAGAGGAAGAATTTGGTCAATACGACGTTCTTGATTTCTCGGACGCGGTTAGGGACTCGGTCGTAGGGCTCCAAACAGAAATCCGCATACCGGGGCTCCAAACGCGACCTCACGTTATGTTCCACTTCATTGGTACCGAAGGTACGTAGCTGAGCGGTATCTGTCGAACTATCTTTGTCAGATCGCTGAAACATCATAAACTCCCTCAAAGCCGGGGGCAATGTAGATGTGACATACTTCAAAGAGACACTCCAAAGTTCGATGGTCTATCCACCAATATACGACTGCAGGAGGATATTGATGCATCAGTTAACTACTTGACTGAGGCAATCGTGGCCTACTATGAAGCTAACTGCCCTTTTACAGCAGTAAATCGACGCCCTGATTGAATGCTTCTCTTCAGCAGCTCCGGAGAACGAAGAGACGGCTCCTAAACGAAGCCATGAGGAGCAACAACTCATCGACCACCTGGAATGCGTACAACGATTCTCAGGAGAACTACAATAAAGAGGTCAGGCGAAGAACACCAGACTCCTGGAGGAGCTACTGTGACGGTATCAACAGTTTAACTGAGGCAGTCAGGCTTTACAAGGTTCTCGCAAACACTCCAATGGTTAGTTTGGGGTTGCTACGTCCTTCCGGTGGCATTTTCGCTGACGAGGAGGAATCGCTCAGACACTTAGTGTCCACCCACCTACCGGTACTCTCTGGAGGTACTTCAGCTGAGGCAGACAATTCACTCAGAGATTCCGCCATGGCCAAGAAGGTGGTATGGGTCATCGAGTCTCTTATACCCTACAAATCGGCCTGAGAAGATGAGGTCTTCACTGCTCTCCTTAAAAAGAGCATTGACAAGATCTCCACCTTCCTGGTAAAGATTTACAGGGTCTGCATAGCACTAAATTACATTCCAGTATCCTGGAAAGCAGTGCGGGTCGTGTTAATTATTAAGCCAGGCAGGATCGATTACTCCCTTGATAAATCTTTACGTCCAATTAGCCTCACATCCTTTTTCTTAATGGGTCTCGAGAAACTAGTGACGGTGCACTGTTCACCAACCCTCTACACCGACATCAGTACGCCTAGCAGCCTGTTGGTAAAGTTGAGGCAGTACTACATCGTAAGCAGTTCAGTCTATTCTTAGATATAGAAGGGGCCATGCTAACACATATTTTCAATCG